GGAGGGATGGTGACCGGGAAGCCCCTTCCTCTGGACCAGGAGCAGTGGGACGACGGCTCAGAAGCCCCTACCTCTGGGCTGGGAACAGTGGGACTCAGCACCTTGGTCTGGTGGTCTGGTGTCCTCTGCGTCTTTGTAGTGTGGAATCAGGTGGCTGCCTCTCTGCAGCGGGGTGATTCGGTGTCTTCCGCGCGACTCAGGACCTCGGTAGGGTGTGCACAGACCTGCCTGTCTGCAGCGAGCTGATTAGGCGTGTGTTCCGTGTGACTGGGGACCTTGGTAGGGCATGGGCAGACCTGCCTGTCTGCAGCAGGGTGATTCTATACTCATTATTATAACTATTTATTTAGTTAATTATTTTTGTGGTGCTGGGGATTGAACCCCAGGCCTTTGTGCATGCTAAGCAAGTGCTGTACCACTGAGCTATACTCCCAGCCCTTAATATACATTTATATAAGTAAATATATGTATTTACCTACAATTTTTGTTTATTGCTAATATTTTTTGGTGCCAATTTTAAATACTTTTATTGAAGACATTGCATTTCCACTTATAATACAGTGCTGATGAAGTGCAATGTTGTCTTTTCCCTGTGCACATGTTCCATGTTCAAGTATTGAGAATGCCCAGTACTTTACTGTAGCAGTTAAACTTTAGCAACTGCCACAGAATTTGCTACAAATTTAGGTCCTTCAATGTTTTATTGTGTGGAACAACGCTAAATCTATACTTAGGGTTGGCTTAATCAACATCTTCAATGGTAGGCCCTGAGGAAGCACCACCAGAAGGAGGAACTCCCCACCAGGGAAGCCCCCAGGCATATCACCTGCACTCTGGAACAGCTTGGTAATGGTGGGATTGCAGACTTTGTCGAGCTCCTTCTGCTGATAGTCAAATTCTTCCTTCTCTGCAGTCTGATTCTTTATTGCTAATATTTTTTAAAGCAACGAAACCATTTTTTTCTCTTTCCTTGCTGTTCTGGGAACTGAACCCAGGGCCTCAAACATGCAAAGCATATGCTCTACCATTCCACTCTATTCCCAGCCCTGAAAGCAGGTTGTAAATGGTTACTCATAAGAAGAAGAAGGAACATGATAGAGGGGCTTTGACTAGGTGCTAGACTTCCCTAAATACACCATGGTGTATTTGTTGTTGGTTTGGATTGAGTTATGTAAATGTCTTACATAAAAATAAAAACAAAATTAAACAATAATATTAACCTCTGAATTTGAAAGTAATAGTAAAAAATGAACCTTACTATGTATCTAGTTGGTAGAATAATCAGGGAAAGAGAGATATTATTAAAAAGGACTTTAAAATACAGCTAGCATGTATTTGTAGATGTAGATATGTATCCTAAGGTAGAGATATATCCTAAGGTAAAAAGAGCCACAAAAAAGTAAATTATTTCCAACTACTTTCAGGAATCAGGTTGGTGGTGATAGTGTCCATTTGCTTTCAGAGATGGCTATGTACATTGTATGGGAAAAAAATCAAATGTCTAGTTAAGCTTATGTCATAGAGAGCTGAGGCTTTGTGTGTGTGTCATTGGTATGAGATACAGATTAGTAATTAATGATATTAAATGATAACTAAATTATAATATGGTATTTAATATATAAATATGTATTTATGATTCTTCATCTTAACAAAACAAAAATAATAAACTTCCTAATTCTAACCACTGAAAAGACAAAGAATCAACAATGAATCCTATAGCAATGAATACCCCTGGTATCCAGCTTATGATCTTTAAATATTATTTCTCTGTTATAGCAATCAGGGATCACTGGAAAAATTATTCTGAGTCTAGGACATGGAATGCAAAAACATGCTGGAATATCTTGTTATTCAAAAAAACCAAGGAGTTTATGGAAGAACGTCAGGGATATGTTAAAAGTACTTAGGCATGAAACTAAACAGAAGGGGTGATTGAAATATACAGTTAATGTTTAAATTTTTAAATTTTATTATAGTGAAAGACACATTGTCACTAATCTCCCTTCAAGTACTCCCTCTCACTTTGAATACATGTATCCCATCATTCTTGCTACCTTCTGAAGCAGTTCTGGAAGTCCTCTTTAGTGAGTGTCTTTACAAGGAATGATAAAAAAATATGATGAATGCTGCTGCCAGGTGACATTCAATGGAAAGGGAGGCTCATGAAAACATTACTGTGAGTCCTCATCCCCCTTGTTCACTGGATCTGGAAGTGTATGACTTCTGGCTCTTCCCCAAAGTCAAAATGACCATGAATGGTAAAAATGGTTTGAGGCCAATACAGAACATTGAGGCAGCCACCACAGTACAGCGTCAGATACTTATGAAAGAGAACATCTAAAACTGCTTCAGAAAGTGGCAAAAACCTTGGAATAAGTGTATTCAAACCAAGGGGTGTGTTTGAGGGAAGTTAATGGCAATGTCTTTTACTATAATAATTTTTTATAATTTAAACATTCACCATAGTTTCTTTTTATCATACCTTATAGGTTTAAAGCCATAATTTTATAATTATACTAAAAGTAAACTAATTGGACACCTTTGGAAGATGTCAGAGAAACATCATTTGAAATCTGATAAATAGTAAAAATTAAGCTTTGGCCCAGTGGTAAGCTATGGATCTTTATTTGAGCTTCAAAAAAACTGTAAAACAAAATTAAATGGGAAAATCAGCTCAATGTGAACACTTATGTGATGATATTGATATAGTATTGTGGGTGTGTTAATCTCCTCAAACTACCAGGTTTTGGTGGGGAGGTCTTATGCATCTCGGCATACTTGACTCTTAATACAGTGACTGACATACAGTAGCCACCTGAAAAAATGTTGCTAAATGCTAATAACCAGTATCAAACACTATTACTCTGGAAAATTTGTTTAGTCACTTATAAATTTAAAAAGCTTCTGATTTTGTTCATAAGTGTTGGTAATAGCATAGGCCTTGGCAATTTTCATGAAGTAAGATCGGGTACACTCTGCATTACATGTCACCCCCTCTAGGTATTTCTGTACCGAGTCCCCCTAGTAGCACGGTAGCAAACCTCAGGCATTAGCAGGCTTTTCTCCTCAGGTATACTTTCTCCCATGTACCTCTCAGAAATAACTGAAATCTTAGCATCTTTTCTCTTCTTGCTGAAGTTATGAGGCTTTAGCCAAATGCCAAGCTTCTGCAAATTTTGCTTCTAAGTCAGTGAATTTGACCACTAACTACCTAATGCTTTGTGGTTTGTGGGAGGTAAAAGAAAATCCAGCCAGAACCCAAAGCAGAAATTATTTGAGGACTAGAACCTAAGTGTAAAATGATTAAGCTTCTTATGTGTTTCTAGAATTTTAAAAGGAAACTTTGATGTCACTTTTACAACCTGAGAATGTTTGTCAGAAGTCCTTATTTTGACATACATGTGCAATGGGGTGCTGACCATATAAATTTAGAAGAAAAAATTTCCCAGGTGGGAGGAATGATTTGAGTTGTCATTCACCCAATGGTAAATCTCACTAACATGAAGTTGCTTACATGAAATGGCAAAACAGAGGTTTTATATAGGCATTGCCCTGTTTTTCTGAAGCCTGACAGCAGCAACAAATGAGACCACAGAATGCGGAAAGCAGCAGAACATCAGTGAACACTTAATTGATCTGGTGGCTTCTAGACATCAAAAATATTGGAAGACCAAGCATTGTGGAAGAAGTCTTGGTTTTCTCTCTCCTAGACATTCTTGGCCTCTAAATCGATGTTCTTGTAGAAGACATCTGCTTGTAGGTGATGACTGAGAAATGGAATAAGAATATAGCATAAATCTTCTGCCCCCGATTCCTTCCTTTGCCAGCCATTACTAGTGCACATGGGTGCTAATTTGGTAGCTGTCCCAGATTTCATAAAAGCAGAGATGGCTTTCAGTTAAAAATGACAACTCGAGGCTGCATTTAACTATCCTTTATTCTATCCACATTTTCATTTGAAATAACCTATAGATATTATAAACAGGGAATCTCTTACATGTTGGTAATTGATACAAGCAATCTTTGCTAAATGCCATACAGATGGGGCTGTGGAGAAAAGGTCTGTCTCTCCAGGTTTCTGTGTAGTCTGGAAATTAAGTGAAAAAAAGGACCTCAGCAAAATCTGACTCTAACCTTCAGTGCAGTAGCAAGGGCTGGAGATAATGACAGGTAAGGGAGTATGTGCGATTCAGCCCCTTCCTCTGGGGAACACACTGTGTGCTGGACCACATGGAGCAGGAGCCTTAGGGTCCTCCCAGATACTTTATGCTGATCATGAATGCTGTACTGCCTGCTAATAACTCTGTCTAGATGAAGGCACCTCTGCCCGAAAGAGAATGGGATGGCTGTCCTAGATAACCTTAGCTGCCACTACATACTTTCAAAGGAACTCTGGCCTAGGGGACATACTCCTGTTTACCTTCTTTTTCCGTTAGGCAACTGTATTTTTGAAGCAGAAAATTAAAAGTCCACTAAACTGAAAGATTCCCCCCCCCCTTTATTTTTGTTGGCTTGGAACTTCAAACCCACATAATTCTCAAAAGAACTTAAGTCACTGATATCAGACAGGACTGACCTCCCTCTTTAATTCAGTAAACAGCTATAAATAAGAAGAGACTAAAAGTCACAAAAAGAAAGGTGCCCATCTGGCTATTATCTGGGTAATGATATAAAATATTTCTACATGAAGTTTTAAAAATTCTGATTATTGAGGAGAATTTTTGCATATTGGACATCAGAATAAGAAGTAATCATCAAGTGGGAAGAAATTTAAAATCAGAAAAGACTGAGAAAACAGAAAACCTGATTGTCAACTTTCAAACAAATCAATGAATTAGAACCCAAGACCCAAGAAATCATTGTAGAACATAGGGAAAAAATAGAATATCAACAGAGATGGCTTTAAGTTAAAAGAGCTGATAAGTGCTGAGGAAAATAAATCTAGGAGATTCAATATATGAATGATAGAACTGACAAAGTTAGTCTAAAAGAGATATTTATATAAATTAATATACTGGAGACCTTAAAATATTTGGTAAATTAACCAAAGGACTAGATCGTAAAAAAGACCAGTCATGTAAGACAACTAGAAAACCTAAACATGAAAATATTTTAAAAAGTAAAGTTACCAATCTATAAACATAGATTTGTCCCCCCCCCACAGTGCTTTATTAAGGCAAATGTTGGGGTGGGACAGCCCAGTCGCCTGGGGACCAAACCCCCCACCCCAACCCGCAGCGGCCAGCAAGCCGGTTCCCTGCGCTGCAGGAGAGCGAGTACTGGGCCCCAGGCAGAGCTGCTGCAGAGCCAGGCAGAAGCCAGAGCAGGTGGGGTCTGCATGGCTTTCCTTACACGCCTATAAACAGGTTAGGCAGACATTATTATTTATTTTACAGTCCTTTGCATGCATCTGGAAATACATTTGAAATTCATAAAGTAAAATATAAATTACAAGTATACATATAAGATATAAAATATACACTTATTTTTTTATTAGTACATATTTGCAGTGTATAATGGTTACATTCCTCGTGGAAAGTTGGTACAGTACAAACCACACCTGAATTCTTTTTCCACTCCCTTCCTCTGCCCGCTTCCTTCCCCTTCTCTCCATTTCTTAGCCTTCAGCCTTTTTGTAGAAGATTTACATCCCAACTTCTTATTGTCTTTTATTTTGCTCTTGATTTATATTTTGGAGTTCTCATATAAGAGAAAACATGTAATATTTAAGCTTGTGTGTCTGATTTATTTTACTTAACATTGTGGTATCAAAGTGAATCCATTTTCTTACAAATGACTCAAAGTTTATCCTTCTTTATGGCAGAGTAGTACTCCATTATATATAAATATCACACTTTGTTTATCTATTCATCTGTTGATGACCATATAGGCCACTTCCAAGATTTAGCTATTATGAGTTGTACTGCTATAAACATGAGTATGCATGTATCACTCTAATATGATGACTTTTGGGAAGGTACCTAAAAGGGGAATAGCTAGGTCAAATGGAATTTCTATTTTTTTTTGTTTGAATTTTTTTTTTTGGTACCAGGGTTCGAAGTCGGAACCTTGTGCTTGCGAGGCAGGCACTGGAACCACTGAGCTAAGGAATTTCTATTTTTAACTTTGGGAGGACTCTTCCTACTTATTTCCATAGTAGTTGTAGTAGTTTACATTCCCAACAAAGTGGAAGCATTCCTTTTCCTGCCAAGCCTCTCCAGCATTTATTATTATTTGATTTCTTTTCTTTCTTTTTTTTGGTACCAGGGATCAAACTCAGGACCTTGAGCTCGAGAGTCAGGCAGCAGAACCACTGAGCTAAATCCCTGGCCCGGTTATTTGATTTCTTGATAGTCTTTCTGGGGTGAGATAGAATCGAAGTGTTGTTTTAATTTGCACTTCACTAATGGCCAGAGGTGTTGAACATTTTTTCATGTACTTATTGAACAGTTGTACTTTTGAGAAATGTCTACTTTAGTTGCTCATTTGGGGATTGGGTCTTTTATTTTGGGTAGGTCTAATTTTTCTTTTCAGTTCTTTATATGTTCTAGATATTAGTCCTCTGTCCAAGGAATGGCTGGCAAAACTTTTTTTTTTTTAGCCATCCTGTAGGTTGTCTCTTCAACCTGTTGGTTATTTCTTTTCCTGTCCAGAAGCTTTTTAATTTGATATTATCCTGTTTATAGTTTCTTGATGTTATTTCTTGTGTAATTGGGATTCTGTTCACAAAGTCCTTTCCTGTGCCTATGTCTTCAAGAGTTTTACCTATTTTATCTTCCAATGGATTTAATGTTTCTGTTTTAACATTTAGATCTTTGATTCATTTTGATTTTAGTACATGGTGTGTAAGACCGAGGGCCTTACCAAATACTCCGAGGAGCTGGCTACAGCGGCGATCACCCGGGAAGGAACACACCGGACAAGTGGAAGGTAAAAAAAACCAGACCTTTATTAGTCTGGCCAGACGGCACTCCCAAAGCAAGGTAGCTGAGAGAGGCAGCAGGCACAGAATCCAAAGCTATTTTTATAGGAGACTGAAGCGGGGGTTAACAGGCAGGAACGGGAACAAAGGTTTATGACTCATTATTACATGCTGATGGTCAGCAGGCACACAGTAAGACCTTGTGACCATAGGGTCACGGCCGTCACGTACTGATAGTCAGCACGTCTGGTGACGGTTGTTCTACTGATAGTGAGTCCGGGAATTTTCCAAGTTCCGGGCAAACAAGAGGGTGGATGATTTAACTAAGAACTCTTAGTTACAGATTTTATCTGCTTAGCAAGCACATTTCTGACCACTAACTCTAAACAGAACAGAGGCAAGGGGAATAAATGAATTTTGAATCACACAGTCCCACAGGTGAGAGATACAGGTCTAATTTCAGTCTTCTGTGTGTGTATAGCCAGTTTTATCAGAACTGTCTACTAAAAGAGGCTGTCTTTCCTATGTGTATGTCTTTAGCCACTTTGTCAAAGATCAGATCATTAAATTGCCTGGGATTATTTCTGCATCCTCTATTCTGTTCCATTGATTCACATGACTGTTTTTGTGCCAGTACCATGCTGTTCTTTTAATCACTGTAGCTTTGTAATGTGATGTCTGCTTTGCTCTTATTGCCCAGGATTGCTTTTGCTATTCCGGGTCTCTTCTGGTTCCATATGAATTTTAGGATTGTTTTCTGTGGTTCTGTGAAAAATACTATTAATATTTGGATTGAGATTGTGTTAAATCTGTGTATCAGTTTTGGAAGTATGGCCATTTTGACAATTTTGGTTCTGCCTATCCAGGAACAGGATATACCTGTCCAATTTCTTTTTTTCTTTTCTTTTCTTTTTTTTTTTTTTGTAACAAAGTTTCACATTTATTAAAGTTAGGAAAAAAGCAGAAGTGTAAGAGGAAAACAAGCTCTACAAAGCAAGTAATGGGCTGAGTGAAAAAGGAGGAAAAATCATATTTATTAAAGATAGGAAAAAACAAAAGGGTAAGGGAGAAATGGGCTCTCCAGCATGAGTTTTGGACTGAGTAAAAAGGAAGGAAAAATGAAGGAAAAAAATAAAAAATACACTCTATAGCATAAGGTGAGCTATCCTGAAGATAGCACAATAGCCTATCTTTCCAATTTCTGATGTTCTCTTCAATTTCCTTTTTCAAAGTATTATAATTTTCATTGTAAGGGTCTTTCTCTTCCATAGTTAGATTAAAGTACAGGCCAAGGATATAGCTCAGTGGCACTGTGCCTGCCTGGCAAGCTCAAGGTCCTGAGTTTGATTCTTGGTACCAAAAAAGAAAAGAAAAAATAACCTGGTTAGGTTAATTCTTTTTTTTTTTTTTTTTGGTACTGGGTATTGAACTCGGGACCTTGAGCTTGTGAGGCAGGTGGTAGAACCACTGAGCTAAATCCCTGGCCTACTAGGTTAATTCTTGACCCTATTGTGAATGGTATCATTTTCTGAATTTCTTTCTCAGTGATTTCATTATTGGTGTAGAGGAACACTATTGATTTTTATGTGCTGCTTTTGTATCTTGCTACACTACTGAATTTGGTTATTAATTCTAGGAGTCTTTTGGTGGAATTTTGGGGGGTCTTCTATAATAATGATAATTTAACTCCTTCCTTTCTATGCACATCTTTTTTTTTCTTTTTCTTGCCTGACTGCTCTAGCTAATGCTTTAGGTACTATATTAAACAGGAGTGGTGATAGTGGAGGCTTTGTCTTCTTCCTGATTGTAGAGGGAAAGCTTTCAGCTTTTCCCCATTTAATATGATGTTGGAAGTAAGTTTGTCATAAATGGCTTTTATCAAATTGAGATAAGGTCTTCCTCATATACCTATTTTCATTAAGTTTATTTATTTTTTATCATGAATGGATGCTGAATTTTGCCAAAGGCTTTTTTTTTGCCAAAGCCTTGTTGTTGTTGCTGTTTTCTGCCTAAGGTTAGCAGTTGTAAGATGCAGAGAGAGATGGGAGTAATATGGTTAGATGGTAATTCCAGAGTTCTTTCCAAGGTTTATTCCTGCAACTGTTGTAACCTTGAGCCTGGGATAGGTGGGGCCTTGCCAATTTCTGAGATGCCCTCGAGGCATGTTTTTTTGGGTAGGGGGGTATCTGTTCAAAGTCCTCATTTTGTTTTTAGTGCTGCTAATCTCCAGCAACTATATTCCCTTTGACCCTAACTTTACACATGACTCCTTTCGGTCCAAAATTTAAGTTTTTCAAATTTTTCTGCTCTGCTTTTTGCTCCCAAATTTCACTATACATCTGGATTTTTAAAAACCAAACCAAACAAAAGCAGTCAGCAGTATCCAAGCAGTATCCACAGCCTGAATATTGAGTTGCCTTGAAATTTCCTCCACTGTATTAATTAGTCCTCCACTCTTAGTCTCTGATAGACTCAGGACATGGGTAAAATATAGCAAAATGTTTTTCCAGAGTATAATGTACATAGTCTCTAGTCCAGTTGTTGATGAAGTTCTTGTTGCCTCCTGAGCCTGACTTTACTGCCTGCATTCCTAGCAGAATTCTGATATTTTGAGCTCCAACTAGAATCACACATCAAGCTCTGATTACTGCATTCTACAGATTATGTAGCTTGCATCTCTGAACCTTCCCAAACTCCTCCACAAATCAGTTCCAAAGCTTCTGAACCATTTGGTTAAATATAGTAACAACAACAATCCCACTTTTCTGGTACCAATTATCTGTATTACTGACCTTTCTTCTTGCTGGACAAAATACCTGACATCCACAACTTAATGGATAAGAGGTTTATTTGACCCACATTTTCAGAGGATTCAGTCCATGATTGAGTAACTCCAAGGAAGAAACATCATGGAAGAAGGATATGGCAGAACGAAGCTGCTTAGTTCACAGTGACTGAGAAGCAAAGCAGGGGAATTCTGCCAGAGAAGAAGGGGAAGGGACCAGATATAGACCCAACATCATGTCTCCACAACTCACCCAGAAACATCTAAAAGTGTGCTTTACTAATTCCACAGGCAGCTCCCAAGCCAATCAAATTGACATTACGCTTAAAAGTCCTAGTACCTATCCCTATTTGAAATTCTTATGGAAAACCATGAAGAAGGCTCCATACCAATATATGGCTGTCAGGTAAAGTTTAAAAAATAGATTGACACAGATTGGTAGATCTTCTATAATATTTTATCAAATATGAGTCACTTTCAATTGAAAGATATTATAAAGTTCTATCAATGAAACTATAATATGCTTATAACATATGGTCCAATCTCAGAGAAGGTATAATATAAAAAAATAATGCACAAATTGGAATTGACCAAATAGCACACTTTTATGCTACCATTCA